GCAATCCCAGTGATATAACAGTAACAGATAAGGTCTCAGCACGGAAGCTGGACCCTACGCCACTGGAAGCTATGATTTGAATTTCCTGTAGCCACTGCTGTGTCCCAATCGGCGTGGCAAGGAGAGAGGCGCAAAAGGTCTGAGAGTGAGAAGTGGTGAATGGAGTTGAGAGCGGGACTGGCCGGGAGCGCTGCATCGATCTGCGGTGAGTGAGCCGATTGGGAACCCTTCCATAGAGTAGGAAGCTTCAGCAAAGGACATACTGGGACTGGGCGGGAGGGGGGGGGGGCTGGCCGGGACAGGATGCTGCACTGACTTCAGTCACATATTCCCCTCTCAAGCGGGATTGGTGGGGAGTGCCTGGCCTGCGTGACGCCACGACTAAGACCCAGGAGGCTAGCCCAAACAAGGTCCCAGCGCCTCGAGGTGCACCCTAGCAGTGAAGCCTTCAGTAGGTTGACCTGGAGGGGCGGGCCCAGCATAGGCTGCCCAGGTCTGTGTCTCCCTAGTACACTAGGGTAGGAACACCTAGCCGGGCAAGTCAAACAAACTATAACTGTCAAAGAAAGAAACTGGGCCTCCTATATTCGCTTGTATAAAAGGAACAAAAAATATGAGAAGAGGGAGCAACAAGAAAGGGTCCTCGGCCCCCAATCCTGAGAAACACACAATATCAGACACGGCACCAATAGACATAAAGCACTATCTCCAGAGCCTCACAGATGAGTTCAGGAATGAAGTTATTAACGACCTGAAGCAAGATACAAGTAGAATAGTTAGAGAAATTCTAAGCACCGCCCAAGAAAAAACAGATGGTGGAATGGAAGAACAGAAAAAAAGGGGAGAATTGTCTGATGGAGAAAACAGAGAAAACATAGAATACGTGAAGCAGGTTCAAAGAGATTACCAGGAAACTAAAAACTCTATCGAAAACTGGCATACCGGCTTGAAAGAAATTAAGGCTAGATTATCTGAACTGGAGGGCAGATTTGTAATATGGGAGCATGAAATGAAAAACTTCTTAAAAATAACAAAAAAAACAAACAGCAACAATACAAAGGCTAGAAGATGATAAGAGGATCTATAACTTAAGAATTAAGAATATAAAAGAAGAAGTAGGGACACAAACAAATGGACTACAAAAGCTATTCACAGAAATAATCCAAGAGAATTTCCCTAATTTAGCAAATGGTAAAGATACTCAGATGTATGAGGCATACAGGACCCCAGCCACCTACAACCCAAACAGAACTACACCCAGGCATATAATAATCAAAATTCCAGAAATCCAATATAAGAACAGAATATTAAAAGCCATCAGAGACAAGAAACAGATCACATACAAGGGAACACCCATCAGAATTACAGCAGACTTCTCAGCACAAACTATCAAATCAAGAAGAGCGTGGGGGGAAATAATTCAAGCTTTGAAAGATAATGACCTCCAGCCAGCATTGATATATCCTACACAACTGTCCCTAGAAATTGATGGAAAAACAAGGTGCTTCCAGGATAAAGAGGAACTAGGGGAATTTGCAACCACCAATTCAACTTTACAGAGAATAATGCAGGATATTCTAAAAAAGGAAAATACCAAGATTCCAGAAATAGTGGCAGAGAGGCCACAATGAGTGGAGCAGAAAGCGAAATGAAGAAGACAAACTGACAACAAACAACAGAAAAAAGAGCTCAACAGAAATGAGGCAGAGAAGATTGGATGGTAGGAACAGCTATTTTGGAAAAAACAAGACATCATAATAGCTACTGCTGGTTTAGTATCATTTTGTTTTGAAGTCCCATCAAACTTGTATTCTTCTGTCTCCATCGGTCTTAAAAGGTTGTATCGTATTGGATTTTATTATATATGATAATATAAGTAAAAACTTTTATAGACAAGGAGATTATACAGAAACCACTGTTCATTTTCTGTTAATTGGTTTTAAATACCCTGTAATAATGTTATTCTCTTGAATGGTTTTATAGTGTCTTGATATGTTTGGTGCTACAGTATACGAAGTTATACTCAAAGATTTCAAGGAAAGAGACACTATGGTAACTATTTTTATATCAGGATATCTTGTGGTGAAACACTATTTTGCTTAAATGGTTATGTTTTGACCTGCGCTGTTCTGTTGTTATGCCCTCTTTTATCTCAATCCCCTTTTTTTAAAAATTATTTACTTTTTTCATCTTTTTAATTAAGAAAAAAATAAATACAAATAGCAGGATACATTATAGTAACCTACATTGATTTCCTATTAACTTGATTTGAAATCCTGTATTGCCCTCACCATCTTGTTTTGACTAATTTTCCCCTATTCTGCTTTGCTTGGTAGTACCAAGTTCGAAAGTATAGGCAAAACTGTGAAGACAATAAGATTCATTATGACGCCCATTACAGTTGACTATTATCTTCTTTTAAAGTCCTGTAATGTCTCCAATGCTTTGGTTTTATTCTTTACTGTTTTGTTCAATTATATTATAACTGGAAATTCTTCTTAAAATAGCAAGAGGCAGTATGGTAACCACTGCTGATCACCTTGTATTTGTTTTTACATTATCTATTATGTCCATCCTTTTGATTTGACTGACTCTGTTCTGGTATGTCTCATTTGGTTTTACTCTCTTCAAAAAAGTAATAAGAACTGTGGAAACCCAAAATGTGTAATTGTCATTGTACAAAAGGAAAGAAAGTGCTCTAAAGGTTATAACTGCATATATGTTTAAGTGTATAAGACAGATAACCATATTACTGAGTTTTTTTGGATCATTGAACAAAACTGTTTGCACTCTCACTGTTTGAAAGTCCACTTTATATGCTTCAATTTTGTAACTTGAACAACTATTTCTAAGATGAGAATATGTAATCTATTAACTAGTGATTTCTTACTGTTTATTTTTTAAATTTTGTATTACTTGTACCCCTTTTTTGTTTTTTTTCTTTTTCTCCTTAAATAAAAAAAAAAAGAAAAATCTGAAAACATAAGGGCTCTTGTAGAAGATATCAACTTACTTCTAGGAAAATTTTGCTACAAAATTATACATTTAAATGTCTTGTTTTTCACCATCCTTTCTGACCTAGAAGTCATTCTTCAATTATATTCACCTTTCTTCACAATGACTCCAAGGACATACAGCACATACATGTGACAGTCTAATAAGGGGCCTGAAGGTAAAGGGGTGGTGAGCATCTACCCACATACCCAAGATCAAATTAGGTCCTTTAGCTTATGATGTATCATGGAGGAATCCTGAGGCTTCCATGGATTCTTCTCATGGGACCACTCAATCCTTTCACTTCTGGTCAGTTTTCCATCAGAAGCACTACATCCTTTCATAGAGGAAGCCAAAGCATTTGACCTGCATCATTTTTCCCTCTTCACTGTCCTGCTGATTACAAGCATATGGGCATGGCATAAACGGAAAATACAGTTGTCTCCCTTAGCTGTTCCCCTAGAAAACAGGAAAACTTGTTAAGAAAAGCTTTTGATAATCTTTAATAAGCAAGTGGTTCATCTTAACTAAAGGCAAAACTTCTTATGCCAGGAGTTCTCCTGAGTCTGAGCTAGGAAACTTGATAAAAGTTACTCTAATTGCTACTCTATCAAGACACATAATTCTCTAGTACTCTATATCAGAGTACAAGGGACAGTGCTAGTGCCCCAACGCTTCCAATGTCACATAAAAGAGAAAGTTATTTTCTAGATCAGTGATTGTAGCCACCTTTTAAAGAGTCTGTCACTGTCTATGGCTCTGACTCATAGTGTTCAACTCAGAATACAAACATACAAAGTGATTACACAGCAGAAAAGGGATGAAACCCAGTGCTTGGCTTGCTGCAGGAAAGAAAGTATAGACACTAGAGTCAGAGGGAGTACTACCTCTAAATTATACTAGAGCAAATGATCCTATCGCTCCAAGCCTCCATGTTCTTATCTGTAAAATATGAATAAAATGCTATTTTACAGAGTTAATACTATAATCAAAAGCATGAGAGGAGGAGAAATGAAAAATTAAGTGTTTATGGGTATGGAGTTTCACTTCAGGATAATGAGAAAGTACTGGAGACAGATGGTAGTGCTAGCTACATAACAATATAAATGTATTTAATACCACTAAACAGTATACTTCTTAAGATGGTTAAAATTTCACTTTGTGTATTTTACCACAATTATGTAAGGCCCCTACCATAATGCCTGTCTCTCAGTGAGTGCTCCAGAAATGCCATCCTATTCCCTTTATAAAGAATTTACAGGGGGAGGGGGCACAGAACACATGAAGTAAAATAAAATCATGTTCCTCTTCCTTACTTGATTATCTAGGGCTATGAGTCTCACACAGAGCCAGCTGGTCTCACTGATAGGTAGCGCCAAAATAAATGTCTCAGTAAAGAGAAGGGAATCTCTGTTAGTCATAATCCCTCCAGTGTGTTCAGTTCTCAGCCCATCCTTACCCTGGTGCAGGATCTCCCAGAATATTAATGCCCCCAGTCCTCAGCATATTGTAAAAAAAAAAAAAAAAAAAGCTAGGACACTTAAACCATTTCCCAGACCAAACTCCAGGTCATAAGGACAAAAGCATGCATGGTGGCAGGTGACTCCTATAAGACGAGGAGAGGTAAGACATTAGTACTAAAAATGAACTGCATGGGTCTCAATCCCATTTCAGTACTCAGTATTATGCCAATCAACATCTCAAAAGCCTTTGGCTGGATTTAATGGACAGAAGGACATAAGTCTCAAAAGCCTGACAAAGATTAAAAATGTACTTCTCTGCAGTTCAGGGAAAACAATTCATGATTATGTGCAATAAGTCATAAAACAGAGAAGAAAAAATTGAAGACATCTTCAGGCATATTAGAACACTTTTTGATGGGCAGGCTTAATTAGATCTTAACGTAATATTCAAATAGATGATCATCAACATCCCTCAAAGTTAGTGTTTAGAGAACAAAACGCTTGGGGTAACCAACACCCAACTAATTCCAAAACAATACTTACTTTAGGGTCTGAGCTCTTGAACTTTAACCTTTCCACCAACTCTATCATAGCAGCCTTCAGTCCACCTGAGTCTTTGCTCTAGAAAAAAGAAATATCAAGAGTCACTAGAAAGCACCCTGATGCCCTCTCAAACACAAAGCATTTCAGGACAATGAAACTGAAAGCAATTTTTTTTCCTTCTCATCAGCCAGAAGAAATGAATTACTACAAAGTGCTGCATTGCTCCTCTTTCCCTTCTCTATGGATAAAGAGGGTCTGGGCATGAACTGCCCAGTGACCTGGAGAAAGAACTACTGAGATGAAAATTAAATGCAATTTGTACAGGTTGACTCACTTCTTCATCTCAGACTCAACTATGTTACTGTTCACAGTGGCAGGTGCCTTGCAAGAGATTTCCAGCTTATGGTCTACTGACTTTTACTTTGAACTTTAATGTGACAGATGCAGAAGTATGTAATATTAAACATTCTTATAAAAATAAAACAGCCTGAAACTTAACTGAAAACAGGATTATAGGATAGTGATTCAGAACAGAAGGCTTTTCAGTCAGCTATATAAGATTCCAAATTTGAAGTCTGCGGCCGGGTGTTTAGCTCAGCGGCATAAGCACTGCCTAGGAAGGACAACGTCATGAGTTCGACCCCTAGTACCAAAAAACCAAAACAACAACAACAAAAAAAAAAAAAACCCCAATTTGAAGTCTGTCATTAACTAACTGATATAACCTAAAGCAAAACACTGAATTTCTCAAAATCTTTTCCCTCCTATATAAATTGGTGATAATAATCAAGGATATTTTGGGTTTAAAGAAATAACGTTTGTAGAAAAATTAGCAAACTTTGTGGCATAGAGCAAGTGCTCCAAAATGTCACCTATTTATAGATAGATTCCTAGATAAAAACTACCAAAGCTGAATTAAAATTTAAAAATTTTAAATAATCCAGTATCACTCAATAACATTGAAGATTAAAAACAACAAAGAAAAGCCCAGTCCTAATAGATGCATTCACTGCTCATTTCTACAAGAACTTTAGAGTACAGCCAATGCCAACATTTCTCAAAAATAGCATGATCTGCCCAACAGATAAGAAAAATCATTTGACAAAATCCAACATCCATTCATGATAAAATATGTATAGAAAATAGGTACAGATCTTTATCCTAATCTAATAAAAAGCTATTTGTGAAAATTTCACCAACAATTAATATTATACTAAACGAAGAAAAACTGAAAGCTTTTCCCCTAAAATTGGAAACAAGACAAGAACGTCCACTGGCACCTCTCTTGTTCAAAATAGTTCTCAAAATATTAGCCAATTATACAAGAGAAACAAAGGGGATAAGGAAGAAGTTATTATTTGCAGATGACATGATCCTCTAAATCAAAGACCTAAAAAAAAGACTCCTAAAATTAATAATCAAATTTAGAAGCATAGCAGGATACAAAGTCAACACGCAAAAATCAATTAGCATTGTTGTACACCAATAACAAACTCACCAAGAAAAATATTAGGGAAACAGTATCTTTCACAATAACATTGAAAAATGAAATACTTAGGAATTAATTTAGAGATCCTTACAAATAGCCAGACATGGTAGCACATGCCTGTATCTCAGCACATAGGGGTTGAGTCAGGAGGATCTGGCGTAAGTTCAAAGTCAGCGTAGGCTACAGTGAGTTGGAGGTTAGCCTGAACTACATGGCAAGACCTTATTCTAAAAGGAAGTAAAGAAGGAAGGAATAAAATAAATTGTTTTGTAAGTAAAAATTCTCTACAATGAAAACTACAGTACTCTGAAAAAGAGATGAAAGAAGACATCAGAAAATGGAAAGATATCCCATGTTCTTGGATGGACAGAACCAATATAGCCAAAATGGCCAAACTTCCAAACATTGTTACAAAGATTTAGCATAATCAATCAAAATATCAATATAGTCCCCACAAAACCAGTGAAAATCCTAAAATTCATATGCAACCAGAAGAGACCTAGAAAAGGAAAAGAAATTCTGGGCAACAAGGGCAAAGCAAAGGGCATCACAATCTCACCCTTTTAAGTTATACTACAAAGCTACAATGATAAAAACAGCATGGAATGGGGAGGACCACAGATTTGCGGATCAATGGAACAGGACAGAGGATGCAGAAACTACTACAGGCATACTCAGGTACCTTATCTTTGATAAAAGGGCTAAATATTTTCACTGGAGAAAAGACAGCTTTTTAACAAAAGTACTGGGAAAACAAGTTATTCAGATGCCACTGATTGAACCTAAACCCATATATTTCACCATGCACTAAATCAAAACAGATCAAATATCCAAATATGAAAACATAAATGCTTTATCTTCTGAAACACAAAGCTAGTAAAATTTTTCAAGACACTGGCACAGGCAAAGGCTTTTTCAACAGAACCCTAGTGGCATGAGAAATAATCAAGTGTCTTAGTTACTTCCTCTTTGCTAAAACAAAATACTCAACACCCACAAGTTAAATGAGAAAGGGTTTATTTTAGCTTACAATTTGTAGAGGTTTCAGTCCACAGTCAGTTAACTCCAACTGTCTGGCATGGTAAAGGCGCATAGCAGAGGAGAAATAGTCCATGGCAAGAAGGGCAGAAAAAAAAAAGCATCAAGTGTTCCTTTTCCTTTATATCCCCTCCAGGTTATGCCCACTGGTTTTCTGTTGCTGTTTTTGTTTTTTGAGACAATGTCTTGCTATGTAGTCTAGGCTAGCCTTGAACTCACTATGCAGTACAGAGTGGCCTCAAACTCTTGATAATCTTCCTGCCTCAGCCTGAGTGCTGGGTTAACAGGTATGTGCCACCATGATCCCCTAGCTTACTATAAACCAATTGGTTGGTACCACTCACAGCCCGGTTGGTGTTTTTCTTCAGTAAATCCATTCAGTCATACCCAGGAGCATTCTAAACCAGTCAGTAGACTAATCCAGTTACCACACATCCTAGTCCAGCCACCTCCCAAAAGTCCATCTATGAGTACACGAATCTCTCAGGGTACACTAAGATACAAAACATAATACTAAGAATTTAAAAATGCAATCACATTAAAAAACAACTTCTGCACAAAAGGACATCACCAAGAGACAATCCACAGAATGGGGAAAAAAATTGCCAGCTACTGCCCAGACCAAAAACTAATGCAGTAATTGCACTATATAAAGAATTCAAAAAAATTAGACCCCCAAATTCAAAGACCCAGTCCAAAAGGGGCATTTGAAATGAACAGACACTTCTAAGATAAAGAACTACAAATAGCCAATAAATACACAAAAAATATTTACTACCACCACTCATTGGAGAAATGTAAATCAAAACAACACTGAGATTTCATCCATTCTAGAAAGAATGCTTATCATCAAGAAATCAATCAGTAACCAATGTTAGAAAGACTTTGGAGAGAAAGGAACCCTTCTTCATTGTTGGCAGAGACATAAATTGATACAACCATTATGAAAATCAGTATGGTGATTCTTCAAAAAGTTAAAAATAGAAGTTTCATTTCACCCAGCTATTCTCCTTTTAGGTGTCTTTCTGACATATTACAGTACGTATGTTTATTACAACACAATTAGTAATAGCTAAATCTTGGAAGCAACCTATATGTCCATCACTAGATGAATGGATAATAAAGAAAAATAAACGAGTTATTTGTTGAAAAACGGATGTACCTTGAGACCATAATGTGAGATGAAGTAAACTAGACGCACAAGCTTGAATATCTTATGCTTTTTCTCACATGAGGAACCTAAAATATAAATACAATGCAAAATAAAAGAGGAAAAAAGTTACTCCAGCATGAAGTATGTCTAAAAATATATCTTGATTTAGTATAATTATCTTACATGTTTTACATGGTTTTTGGATAATTAACTTGTTAAAGACTTATAAAGTAAATAAAAGAATCTGATTTTGAACAAAAAAGTTTTGAAAACAAAAGAGGGTGGAAGGAAAGGGGAAAAAACTGACATATATGTACATGTGCAATTCCCCACAATGAATGTAATCATTATGTACTTCAAATATGTACTAATAAAAAAATTTTAGAAAAAGAAAAATACTGTGGGCCCCAAATGTAAGTATACAGAAACTACCTTAAAAATGTGAAAATAATTTTTATTTTATATAATCCAATGTCTAGAATATTATCATTTGCAATATGTAACTGCAACAAGATTATTGTATAATATATACAATATTAAGCATTCCACAACTATATACACTCAGACGTGTATGTATGCATATATTCACACACACAAACACACACAAGGTTTTGAAAACTAGCTTTTTTCCCTCCGCACAGCTCAACTTGTGGAGTACTACCTACATTTCAAGTGTGCCAAAGCCACATGTGGCTCAGTCACCACTATATTGGTCAGCACGGATTCAGAGCACAGAATGTAGAGCCCCACTTTCTAGATTAAAACTTCAACTCTCCTACTACCAGTGTGACCTTAGGCAAGTCACTTCACTTCCCTGTACCTCTACTTCTTTATCTATAAAATAAAGCTAACTAAAAAAGTACCTATTTCATAATGATGTAGAAACATTAAATGAATGAATATAGGTCAAGATGCTTAGAACAGGGCCTGGCACAGAGTAAATGCAGTAGAAGTATGAGACTTTTTTGTTATCTTTGTCTCTCTAGTGATGTTTTCCATTTCTTAAAGAACTACATCTCTATATCTCTGTTATCTTTTGTGCCCAGCATCAAGAAAAAGTTTGCTGCACAGATAAATGAATACTGCTTTAAAAATGGCATTTATTTCATAATCTAAAATTGTAAGAACTAGTTTATTTCCTTATCTCCATTCTTAACTCCGTAGTTGGTAGAAACTCATTTTACCAATAAGGAAAAGGAAACAAAAGATGACTGTCATTTTTATAAGGGAAAGAAAAATAAGGAAGTATAGGAATAAACAAACACTATAAATATCTGTTACTCAAAACTTGCCACAGGATCAATGACAATGTAATTCTGAGTTTGCAGAAACTATTTAAATTCTTCCAAAACAGGATATACTTGATAAGATCCATTTATCATTTATGTACATTAAAAT